TAAGCCTGGACAAATACTTAACAGCTGAAGCATTGTGAGATTTGTACGCACGTTCCTTTTTGTGTAGTTACATTACTCGGTTATTATTTAGTCATAAGACAGTTGTCGCTCATCTCAAGGAAAAATGCCTGCACTAATTTTTCCCTCACTTAATACGCTATAGAATTTAAATTTTTTTGTTGATCGCAGTTTGTTTTATATATCCACTGTCAAAGTTCGTAAATTGCTGGAAACTCACCATTTGAGTGAGTTGTTAGTCTAACGGGACGACTTATTTGCAAATCTTTACCATTCGTGTTAAATACAATTTCAAAACACAAAGGCGGTGCCCGGGATTCATTTCATTTCGTGTAAACTGATTTGGTCTAAATCGCTGTTGACGGTTAGCCAAACATGGTTTGCTGACTTAGACGCTTGAAACATCACACAGATGCACGCATAGCTCTTGTTTTGCTTCTAAAAAGGTATCACATCTGGTAAATCCCTTTATACGAATAGCCGAGTCCTAGTTTACGGAACCTTTTCGCCCGAGTACACTACAGAAAGGGGTGTTCGACAGAGTTACCCTCTCTGTCCTTTTGTATCATAGATTTAATTCTTGAAACAGCCCTATCCTCGTGCGAGAATAGCGGCATCGATTTACTCCCAGGTGGCAGACTGTCTGATACAGAGTATGCAGACGACATTGTGCTACTAAGTGAAGATCCAATTAAGTTGCAAGCTTCTTTGGACAGCCTAAATGCCACTGTAGCCATTTTTCGCTATGCGTTTTGCATCTTCAGTGTTGCTAGATGATTGGCTTGGCCCTCGTGGATGTGTCAGGAGAGAAAAAACCCACATGAACATCTGATTTCTGGGTGTTTTGTGTGTATCAGGGAACCTTGGATAGCTGGGTGTTCAAAGCAGTGAGCAACATTCGGAACACCTGAACCTCGTTTTGTTTATGTCAATTCACCTGTTTCTGTGGAGCAAGTTATGTGGGGTCGAATAGTGAGACGTCTACCTGACCGTATTGAGGAGCCTCGCGTCGTTTGGTTGAATCAGGGATTGATTAGGACCGGGGCGTCGGCAGTTATGAGCCATTTGACTGAGTCTAGTCACAGCCAATGTGCTTAATGCTTTCTGTCCTCTCTATAAGGTCAATGATAGGTTATCCAAAGAGGTCAAGTCCAGAATTTTGCCAACAGCCGAGGCGATTTCCATTTGCCCCCACATACACCTTTGTGCACCCAGAAAGAGTTTGTAAGAATGGTGGTTTTACCATGGCCATCCACTAACAATCTGGTGACGTAACTTTTGTTCATGAACTCCCACTCATTCACCTACTAACCTATTCACAACCAAGCCCCGTCGTCCCCTTTCCACGCATACACACATTCACAGACAGCAATTATCACAATTCTATCATTTTTTTAAACTGATTTCCTTCGCAGATGTCTCTTTGCACCGCCTGTGTGATCAATTATAAATTGTGCTGTACTTACCCTGTTGGTGTAGCACGGAGAATGAGCTTAATTGCTAACTTGTATTCTCAGGAAACATTTTTCGAACCGGAAACGATAACGGCTGGATTGTCCGATTTAAACTGGTTATGAAGACTAACCTTCTAACGAAACACTGTGTTGGAGTCGGATTACAGTGTTGGGACGGAAAGTTCGAATGTTCTGCAAGACAGATCGCGGTCGGCAAGGTATCGACTAGGTCAGTACGAATACAGACAGTTACATAACGGTATAACCAATCATCAAATTAAATCGCAGTTTATCGTTTGAATCATTCACGTGTCTCATCAGTCGACTCAGACCTGTTTTGTCCTCCCCATTGACGCACTATGCAATTGTATCCTGTATGTATGTTCTCTCTCTCTCTAGCACTCAATCGATGGATTGGTTCAAGAAATCAACACTTACTACGGTGATCCACGACGAGACCGACCATGGCACAAATTTCAGTTGGAAATAGTGGAACCATTGTAGCTCCGGATGTGGATGCTGTTGTTGTTGGTGTGTTCTCCGAGCTAGAAGCGTTGCTCACATTTGCTTTGGTTATGTAATCCGCCTTGTTTATTACAACCGTCAATCTCCCTTTGTCTGCCGGGAGAATGAATATTTTCTAGTCGCGTTTCACGTTGTCCATGGCTCGTAGTTCCTTTTGATTAAAGACATTTTTCTCTTTTCTCCTGTTCAACGCAACAGTTGTCCTTTGTCTCATGTCTTCTTTGGTATCCGGCGGTATGTTGTTTGTCTTCATAGCAGACTCCGGTGCGGCTATGAAGTCTAAACGATTGGCATCAGCATGATTTAGGTTCAATCCTAGAATTAGTACTGGTTGTTCCTCATGTGATAGCACCTGACTGGATAAACTCTTTATCCAACATTGTGATTCCGGTTTACTATCCTGTGGTGTTATTGTCTAATTTCTTCTGGAACCGTTTTCTTGTGACTTGCCTCGTACGGTTAATTCCTAGCGATATTGCTTTTCTTAACTGTTCTAGCAGCGTGACGTTCATTCTACTCGAACAAAAATGTTTCTCTGTATTGATGACCTGGTGATATTTAGTCAGTCGATTGTGTGCACCACTGATGGATACACAAATCATTTTCTGACCATTCTGTTTCACTATTGATCCCATCCAGCTCTATAGAGTTGACCGGTGGTCTATACTGGACGCTCACGGGCAGTACATATCTTCTCAAACACTCATGAAGGAAAAACAGTTGCCTCCCGTGAAAGATTGCCGGTTGGTAAATTTTTCCCATCGTCGAGCATGCTTACGCGTTTCACGCCCGTATGTGTTGGAAATAATGTGGTACGATTGTAGCGGAGGATGTGGATGTTGGTGGTGCTATGTTGTTTCCAAAAAATATGGAACGCTTCGCGATTTTGCGAGCGAAAAACACTTCCAGCTCGGAGAACACACCAACCACAAAATTTAGTGGTTGGTTCGCGGGTTACCAAAACCAGCAACCCCTGGGTTCACTGCACGAGGCCGTCGTTTCGTGAAAGACTCTAATCGAATATGCGAACGTTTAGGAAATATAGAACACTCAACACGGTCATCGAACAATAGAAACATTCGAAAATACCGATCTACGCAGAACTGAAAAGATGTGTTGGTGCATGCACGCACGAAAAAACAAGCCGAACGCGATGGGCCTGGTCGGTATGTGTGTGACCGTGCGCGTGTATATTTACAAACATCAGAATGGTGGTTCGAAAGTGATAGCCTAGAAGTGCTCCAAAAAGGAGGAAATCGAGTGAAGTCGGGCGAAAAACACACAAAGTTAGTGGCAAGAACCGAACCAGGAATTTTTGAAGTTGTCAGTGTCCACACGAGAACTCAACGCAGAGGCCCGGAGGGGGGAGAGACTTCAGAGGGGCATTTACTTGTAAAACTCAAACTCCTGATCACTCTTCTTTAAGCTGTTCTTGTATCCTTTCTCGAAATCCGAAGCGAGTACCACGTAACGGTTCTCCCGTACGGCTTGCATACCAGCCTGCAGTGTAGATGAGAAAATTGTCGGAATCAATGGTATCAGTGAAAGAGCTCAATCAGATGACTAGTGTGACTGGGAATACTATAATATCAGTGCTTGCATAACTACAACATGAGGTATACTTCGTATTCTTTTAATTATACACTCTCGTGTGATGAACAGTAAACTGGATAACCCCCCCCCCCTAGTAACGATGACCTGTTGTTCAGTTGTGGAGACCGGCAACCTAAGCCTTGGGACTTGGAATGGCGAACCACATACATAGATTGATATCTAGGTTTCGTCCCACTGTTTTGCGTTTGTAGCCTATTGATCGACCGCAGGAGACAACATGATTTTTGTCCCATGGACAATCTAATAAACCAAACACGGACAGCAGTGAGCGCTTGCGACCAGCAGTTATTTTACAACGGATGCGCCAGCAAGGAAAAACATAAGTGGATACTATTGCAGATATGTACCGTCTGATGTGGGATAATATCAAATTCAATTCGGTTAACGAGGCTCGAAACATTAAGCGTTCGGGGAGGAACAAATCTGATGAAAGTGTCAGGATATGGCACAAGTTTGGTCAGTATCTGCATTGGTGAGTAGCATATTTTGTGCGTGCGTAACGATTAGTCGGCAATGCGCTCGATATTCAACGAGGAACAACTACATCACGGAGTGAATTCAACTGCGTAGCAACAAAAGATGCAAACAGACCGTGGGACCAATGATCACTGATCCAGTGTGCTTCATGAGACCGTGAACTGATTATTCCAATTAACTTGTTTTGCTATATGCAATCCAATTTCCGTTCGACGCATTTCATTCTTGTAATAAACAACTCTTTAGTTCAGTAATGGCCTTGTTGATTTTACATAACATTTGTACGTAGTGATACGTCAGGGCTGCGTTTTATAGCTAGATTTTGGATACCAACCTTCAACACATCCTCATTTGATTACAGAACTAAACCGCAATCAAGTAGCTGGGCACAATCGATAACTGCTTTAGGAAATGGCGGGGGTGGGATTCGAGTTTTTCGGGGAGTAAATTGGTTGTGCAACATGAACCAACACAATAGTTGGTAGGCCCTGAATTGGTGGACCATTGCTGGCGCCGTTAGTCACTGTACAGCACTACATTATTTCCAATACATGCGTGGTGGTGGCCCAGTGGTTTAGTCGCGGTGATCAATTCAGTTCAGTTCGGTTTGTACAACCATCAACCATGCACCTTCGTGAGGCGGTTTTAGTTGCTGTCTTTTAGCTGTCCCTTTGGATGAAGAATGGGAGAAAGACAGCAAGGTTTAAAGTAGAGTCGAACACAAAATGGAGAATTTCAGTGGTCTAGGTTTGCCAAGAGATTGTGAAAATGAACCTGCGAAACTGTTTACGACACCCAGCCATATCACTCAGTGTCTCTAACCATTCGTTGCGATCATCCCGAGGTCCCCAGCCAGGGAACCTAACGGGACCCATGTGACCCAGTCCCCTGGTTGGGGTTCTCATATCCTCGTGCCAGGTTTTAGCTTGACCACTCTTGGCTTTTTTCCATTTATTACCTGCCTCGGCAAACATCGCGCGCCGTGGCAACCTATTAGGTGACATGCGTAACACACGCCCCAACCAACATAGTCTATGGAGGTCGATCACTTGCTCCAGTGGGCGACCGCGGATACCCAAAACTCTGCGCCTAACCTCANCCCAAAACTCTGCGCCTAACCTCAGCATTGCTCATCCAGCTACCCCACCAGATTCGTGCAATGCTGTATAGACAGCGGTGTTCAAACACCGACAGTTTGTCTTTATCTTGTTTTCTTAATGGCCACTTTTCTGCGCCGTATTGCAGAATTGGCCGAACTGCTGCAGCATACACTCGACCCATCACAGGCAACCGGATGTAGCGACGGCGCCACAGATGCCTCAGGTTGGCAAATGCCAACCGAGCATNATACTAGCTGACACTTCATCCGTGATGCGTCCACCGGGTGAGATGTAGCTGCCCAAATAACAAAACTTATCCACCTGCTCTATTACTTCCCCAGTTAGAGTGAGGCTGGGTGCTGGACCAACTCAGTCTTGTAGTAACATTTTACACTTTGAAGGTGCAAAACGCATACCGAACATGACTACGCTGTCGCTCAAGTTATCCAGAAAAGCTTGCAACTTATCTGCATCTTCGCTTAGCAGCACAATGTCGACTGCATACTCCAGATCAGACAGTCTGCCGCCTGGAAGTAAATCGATGCCACTATTCTCGCATGAGGATAGGGCAGTTTCCATAATCAAATCTAACAGAGTTAAATAGAAAAGGAGAGAGAGGGCAACCCTGACGAACACCAATTTCCGTGGTGAACTCGGGTGAAAAAGTACCATAAGCTAGAGCTCGACTTCGGTTATTAGTATGAAGCGATCGTTATACTGAAATTAACTTGCAAAACCATCTTTCCCATCTGTCTACTTTTTCTTCTCGTGATAACCGGCGTACTTTGGATCCTATGGTCCGAGGTGCGAAACCCAGCACCGACACAACTTTGGTAGTAGGCAGCTTTGCTATCGAACGGTTCAGTACCACGCCTAACCTAGAGGAGCCTTACGTGGTTCGCCACTCCAAGTCCCGGGTCTCAGGTTACGGGTTCCCATCACTAAACAGCACGTCATCGTGACTTGGGGTTTGCCTCATTTACTATTCAGCACATTAGGGTGTGTAATTAAAAAAATTATATGAGAAAAAGACTATCCCAACACATTTTACTTTTGTTAAAACACTGGTGGACGTCAACTAACAATGGTTGCCTCGTAAAATCGCATCTAATAACAGCTTTTTAACTCTACATCTAAATGTGATAGGACGGAAGGACAGCATAAACTATCTGGTGGGAAGAACCCACATCCAGACAGCATGAACGACGGATCACAAGACATCCAGAGGCCATACAATAGCATTGTGGTAATGATTAAGTGCTCTACAGATAGCTTTTTCTGGCAAGTGGACGGTTATGTATTCAAGCCTTTTCAGTATAACGTCCACTCACCTATGGTGGCTAGCGCTAAGCCAAATGAGGTACAGTTATTTTAGCAAAAGCATGTGAACCTACACAGTTGGTTGACTCCAGACGCAATCAAAAACAGAGAAAGCAAAATAAGCACGAGAGAATGACGAACCTCTTGACAGATCGAATTGATATCGGCACCGGAAATTTTATCAGGCCTAGCCACATAGTCCTCCAAATCGACCTCATCGCTCAGATTCATTTTACTGGTAATGGTTGAAAAAATCAGACGCTTCTGACGCCGATCTGGCAGAGGAAATTCAATTTTCCTATCCAAACGACCGGGACGGAGTAGAGCGGGGTCCAGTGTGTCTGCCCGATTTGTGGCCATGATCACCTAACAAATTTTGGTGGATTAGATCAAAAACATGACAATCACACAAATGCTATCTATAAAAAGAGAATGCAGCACACACACCATACATTTGTACAGAAATGTATAAACCTTTCGGTCGTGAAGCAGTCATGAAATGAGTTCCACACGGTGATCAGAGTGAGGTTCATACGCGTAATTCGCAGTCATACACAGATTGATACCCAGGTTTCGTCACACTGTCATATACTTTGGAGTTACTTCACCTGGTCTGCCCACGTTAATGACGTCTTTCTGAAGGCCAGGAGGTTCACGTTTTATGTTTTCCGTCTTAAATCACTTGCTATCCCAAATCATTACATAAGACGTTTTGTTTTAGCCCCACTGGCTTTATGGGCCTCCCGTTATCTTCCCAGATCTTTTTAACAAGGACTCATTTCCCGGCCCCTCAAGTTCCTGTCGCTATGTAGTCTTATACAACGGGAACATCTGGTACAGCATGTGGTGGCACATCACCTGAAATCCTGTAAACTACTTTACAAGATTTTATCTGATACTTTCCATCCCTTTTATCCTGCTCCAAACCAGTGCCCTTTTTATTTATCCACCCGTTCCAGTTATAAATTTATAAAGGCACGCACTGAAGCTTACAGACGCTCTATTCTCCTGAATCTCGCCAGACTTGTTACAAACCATGAACTCGTTGCAGAAAATCTGCGCCAAATGCTAAACTAAACCGATCACAAACATCCTGGTATGTCATTGGTTTTTATGTTGCTGTCCGTTTCACTTCTTTTAATTACTATATTATATTTTTTAAATTGTTGACACACTGTGGTTACGTGGTTGCTGAATATCAACCTTTCGAAGGTGTATAAAGCGATTCCTTGATTTGATGACTGATTGTAGTCATCTGATTGACGACTGAAAAGAACACACTTTTAATCCGATGAACAATGAACTAAACCAAACGCGGAGAGCAATGAGGGCTTACAATCAGGCGATCTTGAAGCGGTTGTAAGACGAGGGAAAGTTGTTATTAGCCCAGGGAACTATTAATTGAGGCGATTCCATATGTATAGGGATCCGACCTCAATGTGGTGCGCTCGAGTCACGGTTCATCTTGCTCACTGAATCAGTGTGATGTTGCAAAAGGATCTTATTCATCGGACCAGACATTTGTCATGCAGTACAGGATAACGGCCACAGTTGTGATCGGGAATGGGATATAAAAACCAGTTAGGTAAAAAAAGTGAAGCGTATGGTGGCAATCCTTGTGATCATTGAATGCCGCAAGATTTCGGGCGCATCGAATTAGGGTAAGGACAATGATCAAAAACACTAATTGTTTTGAAGCAATGCGGAATATGTCTATCATCCAAGACGAGACAGGCTCATTCGTGACCCATAAAACGGTATGTGGTCACTCAGCACGCAGTTCTATAACCCAACTGTATTCCGTTGTTCTAACTGCATAATTGCGTGCCCTGCATAGAAAATAAAGTGGTTCATCATACGTTAACATGATAGACAGAATACAACCTGAGTGCCTGAAAGATTCGGGTAGGATTAAGTGCATCAACCGTAGATGTCGGTACAACCGATTAAGTTCATATTTTGTCATACTAAGATAGGACAATTTATGCTACAATTTTCGAATAACTGGATGAATAATTTTCTCATAAATAATATTTGTGAGCAAAAGCCCTCAAAACTATGCGACCGAATAGGCCACTGTGAGTTTAACCGAAAGATAATCCCTTTTTTGCTTACAATAAGCTGCCCGCCAAGTAAACGATACCTCCAGCAGTGTATAATCATGANTCATGAAATTGTATACTACTAGAGAGAAAATGAAAGTTGTTTAGAGAATGGACCACCGCGATCGCGACACTAAGTAGGATAGTCACAAGTCACGAGGATTTCTCGATGTTGAATTTCGTTGTATACAGAACGAAAAGAAGTGCAGTGAAAAGCCAGGATGCACTACAGGCTTAGGTCGACATCAGTAGACCTCACCAGCAGAAGTGCGCGCCAACCGATGCCACAGACGATCTAACCCCGAACCTCCCTATCACACACATAGAACCCACTTGACTACTGGATAGCTGACGAAACCATTTTTCTCTCTTTCTGGACACGATATCCTTCTTTCTAATTTTCTTTTTACAAGCCTCCCACAATTGTGACGAAAACACTTTCCTAGCCCTGAACCATCTCGCTTAATTTGAAACCCCATGTGTACACGCAAATCAGGCCGTCAGTAATTTTAAACGTAAGGACCACCTCAATTGATTACCGCAATCTGTTCGAATATGAGTGGCTTGTTGGATTTCCAATCGAGCTGGCCGTAAAATGCAATCTCTGTGTGATCTCATGCTAGTCCGGTTTGTTTGACTGCACTCCTGGTTGAGTTTGTTGATTTGGTATATAGTCATGTTTAATGTTCCTGTCGGTCTGTCGAACAACATCGGCAAGTGTGAGTCATGCGATACCCGGTCGAGCTCGCGGCTTTAGTGGCCAATGATGAACAACTGTTTCGACAAATAACCTCACCTGTCTCAAACATTTGGCCTCTTTGCTCATTACCCTTATCTTCCTAGTACGCCCCTGCAACTCAGAGATTTGAAGTATGAGGTTCCTGACACTCTGTCCTATTGAAAATAGGCATAGTGATTTGTTCCAACAAAAACAGAGTATTGAAATGATTGGGCGATTTTTAATCTAGACGTAAAACCCACCTTCACGTTGACATTCTGATCGAATCCGTCCATCTGGTTGAGCAGTTCCAACAAGATACGTTGTACCTCTCGATCGGCTGCAAAGGTGGTTGAAACATTTTGATAAAAGCACAATACATACAATCAATGAGGAAAATGATGCTCCAGACGAGCGCTGAACTAGGAAGCGAGCTTAACCCCCTCCCCTCAAAAAAAAAAGAAAAACGAATGGAAAATTTTTTACCTCGTGCAGATCCGTGGTGAGAATCCAACTGAAGTGAAGTGATTACCAAAGTACAAAACCGAGCCAATTGGCTAGTCTATCAAAGCAACTGATGTTGCGGCCTCAGACGGACAATGTAACATGCTCGAGAGTTGTTACCATCTTTTGTCTGCCTGTTCCGCATGGCTGCATGCATTGGTTGCTTGGAGCATTCGCTTGTGCATTCTTCTCCTTTCTAGCATGGACTCCGCCAGGATCGTCGATATCCTGACGTGATTCTTCTGCAGCTAGGTCTTGCATCTTTGTTTAAGTCACCGCTATCTCCGGTGGAGTAACTACAGTTTGCTCGGCGAGTGAGTTCAGTGTAACACCTTCGCTTGCTAAACCGTCCGCTTTCAGATACTCTCAAGCATAGGCAAGCTACAATTCCGGTGCTTTTAATATATCCTCCCTTGACTAACTGGTTGTTGTTATTGTTCCTGATATTCGCCCGGATTGTGGAGAATCACGGGATCGGATCGCTTCCATAGGCTGTAGGGCAGCATCCCATCTCTAAACTACTAAAGTCCGCCGGTGTCCGAATCCAGTGTAAAGATCAACCGGTTTCAAAGATAGTTCTGGTGATGGTTGGCTGCCTATGACAATCTGCGACTAAATCGGTACAGAATGCTATCCAATTTCGAGGGCCAGATACCGTTCTCAGGCTTTCAGCTGCATGTTACCACTCTGGACTGAAGACAGTCAGGATTTCCGCTAGTCATAGTGGTGAGTAGGAAGTTGGAGCACTGTTTATTTTTAGTTATCACTATCGATGATTTTCTGAGACCAAGATCCAATCGCTGCAGACAATGCCGTTGGGGGACTGCGAGCCGCTTTTTGGTGCTGGCACAGTGTTGAAAGACCCCGACGAGTGTGAAATATGACAATGAGGATTCCAACGCCACGTTCTGTTTGCATGATTCAGCAACCAATCATCTTTCGATTATTAAACTTGCTTGGTATCTCCAGCTACCAATCCAAATGTCTAATTGTGATTAGTCATTTTCGTTACATAATCTTTTACCAGTTCATTCATATACATGTACCCAGGAAGTGTACTTCGGTCACACGAACCTTGTTTGCAACATCGGGTGACTTTAGGATAGACAGCTCTTTCAGAGCCAGTCCGATGTAGAATCAATGCTAAAATTTCAGGTTTTGTAGGTGGGTTAGATGTTACTCACCGCAAAAAACGTGACGTGATCGTTTTCTATACAATATTTCATGGTAAGTAGTATGTGAGTGAATAAACGAATGAACTGACAAAAGATTACCCGATACGCATGCCTGAGAGGGGAAGAACCTCAAAACCTTTCGTGTGCTTCCAGGGAAATTTTGTCCAGTCATTCACATACTCCTTATCACACGTCTGAATCCAATCCAACAATAAACCTTTTAAAATAGAAAAACGTTCCACAATTTGTGTGGGCTGAATACTGCCAGGTTGCCCAGGCCAAAGCAGGTGAATTTTCTTGGGGAATCCACAACCGGAGCCTTTGGTTAGCCAAAGGGAGGCGGTGTGTGAAAACCGCAGTCTATCGGGAGTTGATGAAACGGGTCAAACGTCCAAGGTGTCCAATACACCTCAATACACAATCGAGCCGGTGACCACTGCCACAACCCGGAAGCGGCGTTTGATTTGTACGCCTCTTTTTGGTTGGTTCAGAATCAGGGTTTTTGGCCAACTCCCCTAGGTGAACTACCAGTGGCCCACCAACCTGGTTATAGCTCCGGATGTCGGGTTTTCGTCCTCCCGCATTGGTGCGAAAACACCTCAGCCACGAGAAGGCAGTGAGTAGGACTTCCTCAGCATAGGCTGTTTGAGACGCTTGGTCGTATGGAAGCATTTCGTGAGGCGCAAAGGGAAGGGTGACCAGCTGCAAACCTAGACACCAACCCCCGATCATACTGAGGCTTTCTACATCAACTTATGATTAAGGACAATACGTCCTGTTAAAAGAGAATGGTGTTTAAATCGATGCGTTTGT